AACCACCAAAACACTGCTATACGCATCACATTCTCATGAGCTGGCATTTGGTGCGGGCAAATAGGGGGGGGGGGCGTAACACTAGGGTCTGAGGGTTGAGCCCATCACTGTTGCTTTACCATTTCCCTGGCTGGCCCCTTGCCAGCAGTGTGTGCAACAGTTTCACAGCGGGCTTGACATCGTCATATTCATTTGCCCGAGAAGTGCCGGACCGGTACATCTCGTAAGCAAAACAGCTCCTGAATCAGAATCAGTCAATGCAGAGTGGGACATTGCTGTCCAGCATAGAGCTCCATTTGCTCGACTGTTTTGGTAAGTTCGAGCATGCCAAGCCAGAGCACGTCGTGCCTTTCAGGCAGAGAAAAGCTGCTCTGGACTCTCATCACTCTCATCCAGTGTCTGACTTGAGGCTTGCAAATACGAACAGCGCTGCTGCTGGTGGCAAGTTTGGCGGCTGTATGCTCAGCAGCCTTTGGAGATTAGTGTCGGATCCAGTATGCGTGGCATAGGGACGGAGATCTGTCTGACTTGATGTCAGTGAGACAAGAGCCCTCCGTTTCAACCAGGTGACGTCATGCTTGGAGCTTCTGCAGCTTCTTTGCCTTGCCATCTGCTGTGTAGCCTATATCTTGTGTCTGGCTCAGCGCAAGTCAGTATCGGCAACGCTTATGAGCTATGCTTTTTGAAACGTCTCTGCGGCCCACAAGGTTCATAAATTGCAGCTCAAGGCTCCATGTGAGGCGCCGCCATAGCAGCAGCCGTGGTAGTATGCTAATGCCGGCTGATTCAGTGGTGCCAGTGCATTCGTAGGCCAGCAGGGGTTTTCCTTCAGTGACTTGCTCAAGGCAGAAATGCCTTGGGCCTTGATGAAAGGCTGCGTCAAAGAGATAGACCTGTTTGTTTCAGCAACTGGGAAGCCGCAGCGGAGCCAGGTCTTGACGTTTTCTTGAGTATATGAGGGCTGCCTTTCCCAGCCACTGCTGCTGCTGCTGCTGCTGCTTTTGCTGCTGCAGCTCATACTATGATTCTTATGCTACTGCTTCCCTTGGTTCCTGACACTGTTGCCGTTCTCTGAATACGTACTTGCTCAATGCTGGTGCGGGTCGCCAGTGTGCAGTCTGCAATGTGGTGACTGGTTCAGCAGTGTTCATGGCCTTATGACAAGATTGCCAAAAAACTTCCAATTCACAGAGGACGCAATATGGGTTCTCTGGGATTTTAACGGCATAGTTCTGTCATTTCATCAAGTGATATCTGTCACATTGCTTGTGAGAGTGTTGATGCACTTCCATGGCACGAAGTGAGCTCCTCTGTCAGGGACGAGTCGGGAAGGCTTCCACCGCCCCGACCTAACCGTGCACCGTTTCGGCCAAGCAGCCAGCTGTCCGGCACCAAGAGATATGAGCTTGAAAGATGGCTAGAAGCTGGCGTGCTCCCTGCGATCTGGCTATGCACAATGCAGCTTTCTGTGAGCGGACGTCGCGAGCACATGATTGCCTGTGTCAAAATGCACCCCGTGTACAATGTGTACACACCTGGCTTAGAGACAAGAGAGACGTGAGACATTGTTTGACAACCTGATACCATCAACAGCGATCTCCCTCGTGCTCGCAGATTTAGCCACAGCCATGGATCGTTGGCATTGCTGCACCATGGACCGAAGAAACTCCTTTACGCGGCAATGGTGAAAAGAAGCTGCTTGTCACGCAGAGACAGGCATCCCAAGAATTGCAGAGTGAGTTGAGCTCAGGCTTGCGCACTGCGCAGCGTCCAGTACATTCCCGGCGGAAAAAGCAGACCAATACCACGGTGCCTCGACTTGGGAGTCGAAAGCGTTGCGGACCAGTGTGCAAGAAGCACTGTGTTCAGAACTTCTGAGACAGCTTCAGCCGGAAGCCCACATCCCTTTCAATCTGATCCCCTTGATCACGTGCTGTCCTTACTTCTGCCCGATTTGGCAGCGATAGGCGATGAGATGCAACAACTGGGTACCATGAGGCTGAGACGGAGCTGCGCGCCTACCGCCATGCAGCTTTGTCTGCAAGTGCCCTGCACACAAGGAATCAGACTCATAAGCACCATGCAAGCAAAGGTCGTACCTGTGCTGAAGCTGTTGGCAAGCCAGCTCTGCGTGCCGCCAGATGAGCTACAGATCTGGGATCCATACTTCTGCATCTTGCTTCAATAAGCACTGCCCGAGATCTTGCTTCTGTCGTGTTTGCGCATGATGTTGAAAAGTTGCCCGGTCACACAAGCAAGGTAAAGGGACTGTGGTGCGACATATGGCGCAGCTTGGATTCACCAAGGTTCGCAATGTGAACGAGGACTGTACTCTGCTCGCATGCGGACAAACAGACGCGAACAGCCGCGTCACCTAAAAGACTACTACATCCATGCACTCGTTTCCAACAATCACACCCTATCGAGAAATGTATTCAAGAGAAGCAGTCTGGCTGAGCCTCGAGCTACATCAGCTGAACGAGCAAAGCCTTGCAAGAAAGTCATTTGCCTGGAGTGTTCAAGGACTTCTATCAGATGATCAATAAAGACACCATTCCGGAGCACCATGTCTTCATGACAAATCCTCCCTATTCATCTGACCACCTTCCACGGTGCCTAGAGCAGCTGGACTGCACTGTGGACCGAGCCTCTTCAATCGCATGTACCGCATGGTTTCATCTTCCTCAGGTTCTGCGGCAAACTTACGAAGCCTTGCCTTCTGTTGCTTCCCAACTGGGTGGCAAAGAAGCCTTACTTCTCCAAGCTGTTCCTTGGCATGAGATCACCTTGCAGTGACGAGGCGGTCTGAGGCGTGGCTGAAGGTGCTAAATGTATGGAATGAATAGCAGCACAAATACCTGCTGTCTCAAGACGGCCGCTATCCTTGAAACGGTGGAAAGTAGCCCTCAGAGACCCGTGAACCTATTATCAAAGATATAGTTTTTAGCCACCAACTTGTGGCAGTGACCTGAGTTGCCCTAGCTTTTTGGTCTTGGCAAAGTGCACCACGAGTTCACTAGTTGCAAGCAAATCAGGTTCTACAGGCAAATCAGGTTCTACAGTAGCTCGAGGCAGTGGAACAAAGCAGGTTATGCATGCCAAGGTTGAGCTGTTTCTTTGTCCCCGTTTGGTCATGTCTGAGTCGTCCTCCCTCGGCCACCTTTGCATGCAATTTCTGTACATATATGTTCGTGTGAATTAAGCGGGGCAATCAGGTTTCCGAGGAAACTCCAGTACCGCGCTGATCTTCCTGGCCACTCTTTTGCAACTTTGCCTTGTGACGCCAAGGTTGGCGGGCAGGGTGGACAATATGTTTTTCATAGCGCCGCTCGAGAGCTTCTTGGCCGCATGCTTGGCGAAGATGGCCAGGGCTGCCAGCGTGCTCCAGCTTGCGTAATTAAGGATACGCTTACACCATGCCTCCTGAATTGGTGCCAGACTGCTGCAAGCCAGCTTGGGTGGGAGATGACGGCAAGACGTCACCATTTGAGTCCTCATGGCAGCTTGGACTTTGAGGTGCCCTCATGCGTGCCATCAGATGGCGTGAGAGACATGCGTGCATTTCTGCTTTTAGGATGACGATGTTGCTGGATCTCAGGTACATCATCCTGCCACCATCCATTGGGTCCAAGAGGATATATGACTCCAGATTTGTACTGGCATTAAGGATGCATTACGTTCATGTTTCCGTGGGCTGATTCAAGCCGTCCTATGCCGTGAAAGGATTCAAGCTTGTGTCGCATCATGCAGTAAGACACATCTAGCTGACTAGCTGCCGAAGATGCCAAGGTTACATAGGTATCAGAAGCAGCGGCAACAGTCTGACAGCCAAATCAGCCAAGTTTTCTAGAAGCGTCATCACGACAGAACTTGCTCTTCTCTTGGTTCGCATTTCTGGACCAAGCCGCCCTTTTTCCAGCTTTGATATTCAATGATTTGCAGGCTGCCGGAGTGGGGGTCCTTTGCAACTGAAGCGTCGCCTTTGCCCCTCACTTTGGCAGTCGCGAAGGTTAGGTGAAATACAAAGACAACAAAAACACCTAAACTTACCTAAACCATTGTGCATGGCGCTCCCCAAATGAGCTCTGGTTCAACTAGCAGACATGCCTGAGCACCCGAGAAGACAGCGATTTGTTGGTGGAAGCAAGCTTGGCTTTCCTGGGCTCATGGCTTGAATTGTGTGACCATGGCTTTTCGAGTTTAATCTCTCCATGATGCCCCACAGTTTTTCAGTCGGCCCTACTAGCAGACCCATTTTTTTAGTGGCCCGGAATTGGTTGACCTGTGATAATTTTCGCCTCGATATCAGTCGCCAACAGGCCACCTAGGCAGACGTTGTTCGGTCTCAGAATCTGTTTTCATAACGCGGTTCTAGCACGCCAAGTACAGCATGCTTTCGGAAACGCCCGCGCGGAATCAGGCTATGAAGCTGGCTGCACATCCTAAGCCCCTAAGCCCTAGTATCACCAGCCATCACTTTTCTCTTTACCAATCTTTTCCAGAGTCGGGTTTTATGATGCTATACTAGCTCTGTGACACCCCAGAATGACAGGGGTGTTGAATAAGCTCAGGGGATCTCAGGGGTGAGCAGTGCAGCTCTTCCATTTTCGAAACCTTGCACAATATCACGCCATCACGCATCCAATGCATGGTGTCTGACGGCTGGCCATTTGGAATTGGAAGGAGGTGGTTCAGATGTGGCACACCGAAACAGCTGTGCATTCACGAGCGACCGGAGTTGCCCCGCCTCACACACTCCACACCTTCTAGCACTCCAGGAGTTGGGCCGATGCGTCAAATGCGTCAAAAGTGGGTGCATGCGCTGTGGCAAGCTGAGGACCGCCTCGAGTCTGAATTACAGCAAAGCCTATTCGGTTGCATGGCGGCCAAAAAACTGCAGGCATCTCGAATGCATTTCAGATTGTTTGGAGCTCCTGCATTTGCGGGTTCAGATGTCCAACGAAGCAACTTGCATGGAGGCCTTGAAATGGAAACTGAAGAAAGCGCGAGAATCGCAAGCCATCGGATGCGCAAACGCCGGGCAGAAGAACAGGAAAGGTTCCTTGGATGCCACACACCATGCAGTGAGTCAACATCCTTGTAGTTTGACAAAGTCGCTTGTCCAGGTAAAGCCGGGGCTGTGAAGAAGAGTCTGGCCTGCATAGCACTGCATGGCAATGCATAGCGCTGCATGGTGAAGATCAAATGGCTTGGCGTGGCCGTGCTGCATCGCACAGGAAGTTGCCGCGAAAGGCTACGAGGAAGCCGATCCCTGGGACCGTCGAGTTCGACTAGTTCTTGAATTTGCCGAGAGAGGATCCTTCAGTGATGAGCACCCAACACAAAACTTTGCTTGCTGTGACTGTAAGCTTTTGAACCAGGAGGCGCTTTTCTGTCAATTCTGTCCCTTTGGGCATATCTGACGTCCCATGACGTCCCAGTAGCCTCACGGCCCTGGTGCAGAGCAGCCCAGCACAGAACTCTGCAACGATTGTGTAGTAGCATGGCAGCGTGGGTGGTTGGTTAAATGAGGCCTTGCAGTGAGGTTTGCGGTTGTTCTTCACGATCCCTAGCGGTGCCCGCTAGCCTAGGCATCGTCGGGCTGCAGCCCTCGATCTGAAACGACACTCCGACGGTCCTGGTGAATGATCAACAGTGTTCTGTGCAGCCTTTGCCAGCAGGAGCAGAGGCTGCTTGCGCAAAGCCCGCTCTGAACAGCCCGAAGGGCTGCAATGCAAACATGAAAGGTCAGGATACTTGCGAGAGTTCCTTGAGCCTGAGCCCTCAACTACACTGCAGCTGGCTGTCCAAGGCCCATCAGGCAGGAAAGCAAAGTGCCAGTCCAGCCACCGAGCTTTCAGTCAACCGGCTTCAGTGACCAGGCCACGCTTTTTCAAGGTGTACAGGCTGCAGCTATGGCGTGTGGTGATCCGGGTTTGAAGGCTGTCATGAAGGGGTCAAGGCAATGCAACTTCACATGACATGTGGCAATGCAAGGCGTGTCAAGACGTCATCAGACAGGGCAAGAAGGGTAAATCTTAAATTCAGTGCAAAGGCTACCCGAAGAAAGTCCGAAGAAGCAGCGAGCACTTGGATGTTAACGAATGCTGTTGTTTCGAAGAGCATTCTTGAAGCCATCAGAATCAATCCAGGAGTAGTTCTGGTATTATATCCATGCCTTGTTGAACAAAGTGCCCATCAGGACCCATGATACGTTTAAACACCAGCCATGCCAAGACAAAATGTAGCCTCAATCACTGCGAAGCAGACCAAGCAGACCACCATGCAGGTACCTAGCATCTCCATAAAGCTTGTCTGCAGAGCCGTGCACCAACATGTCTTGTGTGCTCCTTTTGGTGCTGCCTCCATGCAGGTGTCTGAGCTGCTGGAACTGATAACGTGCGCAGCCAAGCCTGTTTGCCTCCGCCCAGCTAATCTCGCGCACAAATGTTGCAGAGGCCGTCAGAGGCGTCAGAGCGAGCGCGCAGACTCAGCAAACCTGCGAAGGTGATGCTTTCTGTCATGCGTGCCACAACTCAGATAACACAGGTTGCAACGGAACTGGCAGCATATACTGAATCGCCGCTGGGCAGATTCAAGTATTTGCGCGAGTTTTCATACGATGTCCTTGCCTGGGCTATAGAGTGAGTGGTTCCTGCAGATGCAAACAAGGATAATACAAGAAATGCTCCCTGGAGCTTCGGCTGGGACCATAGATTGGCTAGTTGCTACCGTGACGCTCTCTGGTGCTACCTTTGCTCGATCCATTGGGCATGCAGCAGGTTTTCCCAGTGCAGCGTCCTTCAGTTGCGTAAGTGCTAGCGCCAAGCATTGAGGTAGAAGGGTTTGCCAATGCCGACATACTTCGTGGAACTGCCTTTGGGGTAGCTGCTGGGCGCTTGGACATGCTCTCATGCCCTCACAGTCCACGCGACACCTGGCACGAGAAGAGGTCCCCGAGATTGACCTGGTAGTTACTGCCGACCCAGAGTGCCTGGAGAGGCAGCTACAAGGCAAGGGGTTCGCCTGCTTTCGAGAACGTATGTGAACGTGGAGAGCCCTGCTGAAACAGAGAGGCCGCCTGGCCAAAGGAGGTGTTCACAAAACTCGCCGAGGGCCCAGGATGGCCTACTACGACTACTGACTAACAGCGGCCCCTTTTCTCATGCGATTTTTGAGGTATGGATGCCCGCAAAATGCAAAAATCTGCCATACGGGCATGTCCGTTGCTAAGATGGCAGGCATATTCCTGAAGCGAGACATGCTTGGAACGTTCCGGTTGTTACGTTCTGGTTTTTGTTGAGGTACAGATCTCCTGGTAGCTGTTCGAGCCCTGCAAGTAAATCGATGTTTCAGATTTGCATTTGGATGTGTTGCGTTGAAGGCTGGCGGCTTCAAGTTCCGCCGCTCTGCTTTCCGCTGTGAAGAGCCGAAGGTCCCCCTGCCCAATTGGTCAGACTGCTGAGCAGTTTGCCGAGCCGTGAGCATGACTCATGACACAGGTCACGCTCATGGGACCTTCTACCATGAGTGAGCTGGACCCAGCTACGCAGAAACTTGATTGCTCATGCAGTTGGCCAGACTCAGAATGCGATCTTCCTGCACCTTACTCCAGGTCTCAGGGCAAGGCATCCCCGTTGACTTTTCAGTGAACTGCGTCGCAGTCTGAGAGTTGACAGGCATCTGCAGAGTGCAACCCCCCTGACAGCCGAGGCTACTCCAGGCTGCCACGCCGCGCTGGTGTCGGCATGCGCAGAGCAGATGCCTTGTACTGGACGCGGTCAGTCTCAAGAATTACTGATGTCATGCGTGAGGATGGACGTTCGCTCGAGGGATCTCATCCTTCTTGTGAGGTAGGGAATCTGAGAAACTGAATTGGCAGTCCAAGACAGCGCTCCTGCCAGGCGATGGTCAAAGGACCGTGGAGTGTGCTGCCCCTGGAAGGAAAAGACAGTTACTGTAGCGTGTCAAAGGCAGAAGTAGCAGATGCAGTCAAGGCGAATTGAGGCTGCCATTCAAGTCCAATGATGCCCGAACGCGCAGCAGAGGGGTTCCTGTTGGAAATGGTGAGAGTCTGCGTGTTGATGAGTCGATATCAATCGTTTAAGTTTAAATCCGTGTTGTAAGCGTTAGCTGCAAATCGGTGATCTCGCACAATCTCCGCCTGCTATACTCATGAAGGCCAAATGGGGATTCCTCGTATTGCTGCGCCAGGCCAAAAGTTCTACCCACTCTCAAATCTAGGAAAACTTGTCCCACTCAGTCCGAGATGCAGCCCCCTTTCCCAGTAGACTTCTAATACTGGGACTTGGGCCTCCACCGGAACTAAATACTCCTAACACTGGGACTTAGGGCCTCCACCGGAACTAGGACTTGGGGGGGTTTCAACCAGAACTAAATACTCCTAACACTGGGACTTGGGGCCTCCACGTGGACAAAATACTCCTCGCACTGGGACTTAGGGCCTCCACCGCAACTAGGACTTGGGGTCTCCACCGGAACTAAATACTCCTAACACTGGGACTTGGGGCCTCCACCGGAACTAAATGGTAATATGTTATTAGAGCGGCGTATTAATTACTGCGCTAGCAGGGCCGGTGAAAACGGCCCATGTGGGGCCCCTCCGCTACTCCG